CCTCTCCACCACCCTCTCTCCCCACCTACTCTCCACCACCCTACTCTTCACCCACCCTACTCTCACAACACACCTCTCCACCACCCTACTCTCCCCACCCTACTCTCCACCACCCCTACTCTTCACCACCTACTCTCCACCACCCTACTCTTCACCACCCTACTCTCCACCACCCTACTCTCCACCACCCTACTCTCCCCACCCTACTCTCCACAACACACCTCTCCACCACCCTACTCTCCCCACCCTACTCTCCCCCACCCTACTCTTCACTACCCTACTCTCCACCACCTACTCTCCACCACCCTACTCTCCACAACACACCTCTCACCACCCTACTCTCCACAACACACCTCCACCACCCTACTCTCCACCACCCTACTCTCCACCACTACTCTCTACCACCTCTCCACACCACCCTACTCTCCACACTACACCTCTCCACCACCCTACTCTCCACAACACACCTCTCCACCACCCTACTCTCCACAACACACCTCTTCACCACCCTCTCTCCCCACCCTACTCTCCACCACCTCTCTCCCCACCCTCTCTCCACCACCCTACTCTCCACAACACACCTCTCCCCACCCTACTCTCCACCACCCTACTCTCCCCACCCTACTCTCCACCACCCTACTCTCCACAACACACCTCTCCACCACCCTACTCTCCACAACACACCTCTCCCCCACCCTACTCTCCCCCACCCTACTCTCCCCACCCCTACTCTCCACCACCCTACTCTCCCAACACACCTCTCCACCACCCTACTCTCCACCACCCTACTCTCCCCCACCCTACTCTCCACCACCCTACTCTCACAACACACCTCTCCCCCACCCTCTCTCTCCTACTCTCCACACCACACCTCTCCACCACCTCCTCCCCCACCCTACTCTCCACCACCTACTCTCCCCACCCTTCTCTCCACCACCCTCTCTCCACAACACACCTCTCCACCACCCTACTCTCCAACACACCTCTCCCCTACCCACTCTCTCCCCCCCACCTACTCTCCCCACCTATTCACCACCCTACTCTCCACAACACACCTCTCCACCACCCTACTCTCCCCCACCCTCTCTCCACCACCCTACTCTCCACCACCCTCTCTCCCACAACACACCTCACCCCCCACCCCTCTCTCCACCCTACTCTCCACAACACACCTCTTCACCACCCTACTCTCCCCCCACTTCTCTCACCACCCTAACTCTCCACCACCTACTCTCCACAACACACCTCTCCCCCACCCTACTCTCCCCACCCTACTCTCCACCACCCTACTCTTACCACCCTCTCTCCACCACCCTACTCTCCACCACCCTACTCTCCCCACCCTTTCTCTCCTCACACCTCTCCACCACCCTACTCTCCACCTATATCTATCTCTTCACCACCTTACTTCTCACCTACTCTCACTACACCTCCTACCACTCACCATCACCTACTCTCCCCACCTACTCTCACAACACACCTCTCCACCACCCTACTCTCCACACACCCTCCACCCACCCCACTCTCCACCACCCCACTCTCCACCACCCTACTCTCCACCACCCCACTCTCCCCCCCACCCCCCTCCACAACACACCTCTCCACCACCCATTCTCCACAACACACCTCTCCACCAATCTCTCACTCTCCACTCCACCCTACTCTCCCCCCCCACCCTACTCTCCCCACCAATCTCTACTTCTACCACCCTACTCTCCACAACACACCTCCACCACCCTACTTCCAACACACCTTCCACCATCTTCTACCCACACACCTTCCACCCCATCTCCACCCTACTCTCCACACCCCACTCTCCCCACCCCACTTCCACACCCCACTCTCTCCCCACCCCACTCTCCACAACACACCTCTCCACACCCCACTTCCACAACACACCTCTCCACCACCCCACTCTCCACCACCCCATTTCTCCCACCACCCTACTCTCCACCACCCTACTCTCCACAACACACCTTCCACCACCCCTACTTCCACAACACACCTTCCACCATCTCCACACCACACCTCTCCACCACCCTACTCTTCCCCACCCTACTCTCCACCACCCTCCACCACCCACTTCCACACACCTTCCACCACCCCACTCTCCCCACCCACTTCCTCCACCACCCCTACTCTCCCCCCCACCCTACTCTCCACAACACACCTCTCCCCACCACCCTACTCTCCCCCCACCCCTACTCTCCACCACCCTACTCTCCCCCACCCCTACTCTCCACAACACACACCTCTCCACCACCCTACTCTCCACCACCCTACTCTCCACCTCACCCTACTCTCCACAACACACCTTCCACCACCCCTACTCTCCACCACCCTACTCTCCACCACCCTACTTCTCCACCACCCTACTCTCCACAAACACACCTCCACCACCCCACTCCACACCCCACACCCACTCTCACTCCACCCCACTCTCCACAACACACCTCTCTCCACCACCCCACTTCTCCACCACCCCACTCTCTCCACCTCACCCTACTCTTCCACCGACCCCACTCTCCACAACACACACCTCCACCACTCTACTCTCCACCAACCTCACTCTCCACCACCCTACTCTCCACCACCCCACTTCCACAACACACCTCTCCACCACCCTACTTCCACCACCCTACTCTTCCACCACACCCCACTTCCACCAATCTCTACTCTTCACCACCCTACTCTCCACCACCCTACTCTCCACCACCCCTACCCTCCACACCCCACTCCTTCACCACCCCACTCTCCACCACCCTCCACCACCCCACTTCCACCACCCCTACCTCCACACCCCACTCTTCTCACCACCCCACTCTCCACAACACACCTCCACCACCCCACTCTCCACCACCCTACTCTCCACCACCTCTACTCTCCCACCACCCTCACTCTCCACCACCCCTACTCTCCACCAATCTCTACATCCTCCCACACCCCACTTCCTCCACCATCTCTACTTCATCCCCACCCTACTCTCACACCACCCTACTCTCCACAACACACCTCTCCACACACCACTCCTTCTCACCACCCCACTTCCCACCACCTACCTCCACCACTCTACTCCACAACACCACTCCACCCACCCCTACCTCCAACAACTCTACCTCCACCAACTTCACCTCCACCAACTTCCACTCCATCAACCCCACCTCCACACCAACTTACCTCCACCACACCTCTACCTCCAATCTCACCTTTCACCTCACCCTACCTCCACAACACCACCTCCACCACCCCACCTCCACCAATCTCTACCTCCACCACCCTATTCTCCATCAACTCTCCAACCACCCCACTCCACCACCAACCCCACTCCACCACCCCATTCTCCACCCACCCCACCCCCACACCCCCACTCCACTCACCTACCTCCACCAACTCACTCCACCACCCCACTCCTCCACCAACTTCCTCCACCAACTCTACCTCCACAACCCACTCCACCCCACTCCAATCATCCCCACCTCCACCATCCTCCACAACTTACCTCCCACACCCCCATCCCTACCTCCATCCACTTCACCTCCACCCACCTCCTCCCACAACACACCTCCACAACACCATCTCTTCCCACCACCCCACCTCCACCCCACTCCACCACCCCACCTCCACAACACCTCACTTCCACCAACCTACCTCCACCACCTCTACCTCCACCAACCTCACTCCACCCCACCCCACTCCACCACCCCACCTCCACCACCCCACTCCACCACCCTCCCTCTCCACAACACACCTCTCCACCCCACCCCACTCCACAACACACACCTCCACCACCCCACTCCACACCACACCTCCACCACCCCACTCCACCAACTCTACTCACCAACTCTACTCCACCAACACACCTCCACCAACTCCACTCCAATCAACTCCCACTCCACTCAATCCCACCTCCACCCACCCCACTCCACCACCCACCTCCAATCAATCCCCACCTCCACCACCACCTCCACCAACTTACCTCCATCACCCCACCTCCACCAATCTCACCACCCTACCTCCACCCCACCCCACTCTCCACCACCCTACTCTCCACCACCCTCCTCTCCACAACACACCCCTTCACCACCCCACTCCACAACACACCCTCCACCAACTCTACTCCACAACACACCTCCACCATCTCACTCTCCACAACACACCCTCCACCACCCCTATTCTCCCACCCCACCCCATTCCCAACACCCACCTCCACCACCCCACTCTTCACCACCCCACTCTCCACAACACACCTCCATCAACTCCACTCTCCACCACCCCACTCCACCAACTCACCTCCACCACCCTCCTCCCAACACCCCACCTCCACCTCAATCTCTCCTCCACCACCCTACCTCCCACCACCCCACCTCCACCACCTCTACTCTCCACAACACACACCCTCCACCAATCTCTACCTCCACCCCACCCCACACCACACCCCTACTCTCCACCACCCCACTCTCCACCACCCCACTCCACCACCCCTACTCTCCACCACCCCTACCTCCACCACCCTACTCTCCACCACTCTACTCTCCACAACACACCTCCACCACCCCTATTCTCCACCTACCCCATTCTCCAACACCCTACTCTCCACCACCCTACTCTCCACCACCCTACTCTCCACCACCCTACTCTCCACCACATTCTACTCTCCATCAACCACAACAACTATCACCTTCTTCCAACAGTGTTCCTGATGATCTACCTTTATTACTTCAGTAACCGTAGTTATCCTACTGTATACTGGAGTACATTTCACCGAGTTCAAAACTTCATTCATACTCTTGTATGGGTGACTAAGTTTTCTACAGCAGTACATTATGGTAGCTTATGTTGCTATTCATGGCTTTTCCTATTCGTACAATTCTTTGAAACCTAGTTGCTGCAAATAACAAGTGATTAGCTTTAATACATCACTGATTACTGAGCAGTTGTCTCACCAACCTCTATCAGTGTCCTCCACTCCTGGTCCTTGCAGTAGTGAGAGAAGTCCTGTGTATTACGTCCAACCCCAGAGAACTACACAACCACTGGTCTATCTCATTCGGTAAGGTACCTATAGTGTCATCAGAGCCACGGTGCCGATCTTCAAAAACTGTGCGACCATATCTAAAACGACCTTCACTACGAGTGTTGGTGTTGCCGTGAGCTTTCAGTGTCTCTGCTGTCTAATCCTCTTCCTGTGAAATAAAAACAAAGTTAATAAATTACCATTAAAGTTATCATAAGCCTTTATTCACCTCATTATGATACACATGTAAGTGTGTGTGTGTGTGTGTGTGTGTGTGTGTGTGTGTGCGCGCACACACACACACTACTAGTACTACTTTGCTGTCACTCGGAATCAGGTATGATGATCCTCCAGCTATGATACAATGGAATGAATTATTAAGGACGTCACCTAGGTTTGTGAGCTCTAAGGTGACTAAAGAGGCAAATATGGTACCGGCAGCGTCGCCCACAGATGCTGCACATGTGGGGAGGGGCTACATCTAGTGAGCTTGTCTGCTTGTCTGTCTCATTAAGCAGACGGACTAACTCTAAAGTATTGACACCTTCTTGTGTGGTGCTCCTCCAAGCGTTACGGTGTGGAGTAATCGTCTCTCAGGTGAGGGGATCGATTTGGCACTTTTTTAAGTTTGTCTTAAGACTATCCTTATACCTTTTCAGTTGCCCGCCAGTGTTACGTTTGTAGTATCTTACATGATTTAATGGGAGAATGAGAAGCCACATGCTGACTCTTACTCAAGTGGTTTATTGTTATTGTTGTCGTACCATTGCCCAACACATTCCTGATTGCACAGGTCTAAACACATTCTTTGGTAAGAAGTAACATAATATATAATGTATATATAATCAATAAAGGCAGCATATAAACATACACATATATAACAACATTTATTATTCGTCAGATGACTTTAAAGTAGCTGCTTTGACAGTTTACTGTCATCCATGCGTACTTGTTTATGGATAATGATGGCCCGATGCTCCTACAGTTGGTGTCGGCGAGAATACTGGCATTTGTTCTCGTCTTCCCAGCAAACTCGGAGAATTGAAGGTAGACTACATTGGTGAAAGTTTTCAAGTGCCTTGAAGTGCCTCCTGTAGGTGACCCATGTCTCGCTGCCATATAGCAGGTGGAGGACCACTGCTCGATACACGTGCAACTTTGCAGACAATTTCAGCTCCCTACAGCTGAAGCAGCATGGGTAAGGAATCTGCCAAAGGCTTGAGATGCACATCTGATCAGATGCTGAATCTCTTCATCGAAGTCAGAGGTGGTGGACAGGTGGGAACCGAGATACGGTAAGTGGGTAACATCAGAGAGTGTAGTACCGTTAAGCTGGATGGATGGTGGAGGTGTGTCTGAACCAGGGGCAGCTTGAAAGAATCTGAGTCTTACGTACATTCACCTCAAGGGCAGAAGTGTGCATACGCATCTCCGTAGGTGTTCAGGATCTCCTATAGGTTGCATTCAGTGTGAGCAACAAGGGTGAGGTCACCTACATACTGAAGCTCAGTAATGGAAGCTGCCGACACCTTTGATCCTGCCTGGAGTCGTCTTATGTTGAAAAGTCCCTTCATTCGGTACTCGATGTCCACCCTGCCGGCTAAATTGACACTGGCACGAGTAAGGAAGGCAGCCAAGAAAATGGAAAAGAGAGTTGGTGCCAGTACACACCCTTGTTTAACCCCCATTTGGATAGGGAAGAACTCAGACTGGATGCTGTTGTGCAGGACACTGCAGTTCATGCTATCGTGGAGTTGCCTCACAATGACGATGAATTTTGGTAGGCAGCCAAAATGGCTGACAGTCCACCATAGGGCTTCCCTGTTGAGCGAGTTGAAGGCCTCGGTTAGGTTGATGAAAGCCATGTACAGGTCACGAAACTGTTCTCTGTACTTCTACTGTATCTGGCGGGCAGTAAAGATCATGTCAGTGGTGCCACATGATGGTCTAAAGCCACATTGAGATTCTGGGAGGAAGTTTCGGCCTTAGGAAGAAGTCTGTTTAGGAGGACTCGGGCGATAATCTTGCCAGCTACGGACAGCAGCGAGATCCCACGGATGTTGCCACAGTCTGACCGGTCTCCATTGTTCATATATATATTGACAATGGAGGCGTCATTAAGAGCTTGGGGGATTTCTGCCTTTTCCCATATTTTCTCCAGGAGAGAATGGAGAGGGCTGGTAAGCAGAGGTCCTGCTTTATACTCCTTGGCTGTGATTCCATCAGGCCCTGAGGCTTTGTTATTTTTCCTGTTTGATGGCGGTAGTTACCTCATTCATTGATGGTTGATAGCTGGGGTGGGTCAACTCTGGATGCTGAGGGACCTGCTGGGTAGTCAGGACATCCACATCAGTGTTTCGGTTGAGCAGTGAATGGTAGTGCTCTTTCCAGCACTGAAGGAAGCCTTCATCGTTTTTCATTAGAGAGTTACTGTTAGATGAGAGGGGGCCTGTGCTACAGATGATTGGCCCATAAATTGTTTTAATGGAATTGACAAAATTGCACATCTGGTGCTGATCTGCAAATTTTTGTGCTTCACATGCTTTATATTTAAACCAGTCATTCTTTAGATTGTGAAATTCCTGCTGGGCCTAAGCTTTCTTCTTGTAAAAAGTATCAGCTTTAGTCCGAGACTGAGGGTTGTTCTGCCAATAGTTAGAGGCACGTTTATCATTGATGAGTACTGTACATCAATTTCCGGGTCATTTTCATTCAAACTAGTCCTGGTGTACAGTAAGTCCTTGTTTAACATTACCCACGATAAAGTTGTTTTGTTATAACGTCGCTATTCTTTAGATACCCATGATTCGGATAACGTATCGCTGATTCAGTATAAAGCCGACACGGACTACTTTGTACGGCTCATCACCCTCTCTCATCTTGGCACGCTACGCTCTCATTCGCTGAGTGTCATAGCGTCCCCAAAGCGTCACCAGTCTTTGTTAGGCTTCCACAGCATTCATGGGTGTTTAAGTGTTTTTGCTCTTAATACTGTATTCTAACCCTTCAAAATGGCTTCCAAGCGCCCATCAAGTGCTACTGATGCTAGTGTTGTGAAGAATCAACGTAAGAACATTAGCCTTGCTACAAAAATTGAGGTTTTAAACCATTTTAAGAAAGGTGAACATGAGGTGGACATTGCTGCTGATCTAGGCCTAACCCCCACAACGGTGCGTACTATCCGGACCAGCATGGATAAGATTAAGGATAGTGCTGGAAGTGGTACTTCCCTGAATGCAACAAAGACAAGTCGTGCTCGAAGTTCCGTGATTGAAAAGAAGGAAAGATTGCTTTGACGCAATGCCCCTGCAGGCCTTATGGCTATCCAGCATAAAGCAAAATCCTTGTTTGATGACTTAAAGGCAGAAGAGGGTGAAGGATCGAAAGATGGGACCTTAACGGCCAGCAGAGGATGGTTTCAATGTTTTAAGCATCGTTATAACTTCTACAATATTAAGATGACTGGTGAAGCTGCCAGTTCAGATACCATTGCTGCCGAGACATTCCCGCCAGAATTCAACAAGATTATCCAGGAAGGAAGCTACTCATCGAAGCAAGTCTTCAATGCGGATGAGACTGGTCTCTTTTGGAAGGGGATGCCTGGAGACCTATATCTCCAAGGAGAGAAAAAGAGCACCAGGTTTTAAAGCGGCAAAAGACCACTTGACACTGATGCTTGCTTGAACACTGCTGGCGACTTCAAGCTGAAGCCTATGTTAACCCTCTCAGTCTCACACGACGCCATTGTGGCGTTGAACATAAAACAAAAAATTATGCTCAGGCTACTTAGCGCCAATGTGGAGTCCAATGGGCTATATTTTAAAATAACCCAAAAATTATTTGGTGAAACTGACTGATCTTTGGAAGGCATTTGACAGACGTTGTTTTCTTTGTGTGGGCCTTATCACCTTCCCTGAGACGGTCTTGGTCATCATGTGTAGCAGCCAGCATGAAGCCAGTGTCGCTCTGGCCATTACAGCGACAGGAGGTCGCCGTACAGCCCTTTAATTATTCCATGAGTTTTGTGTTATATTATTTTTCCTTATACCAGGATGTTCTACAAGCTTTGTTCTTTATTTTGGTAGACAATACATATCAATGAAAATCATAATACAAGGAAAATGTGAATGAAAATTGAGATGTTACTAAACAATTTCCTACTTTATTAACTTATACTAAAAAAATGGCTTAAATTTCAAGAATTTTCAATTTTTTTATGGTTTCCTCTAAGTTTTCAGACAATTTAACGCTAGAAGAGACCCCATTACAATTAAGGTTACTCTAAGGAACACCTTCCTGTCATTTACAAGGCAAACAAGAAGGCATGGATAACCAGCGCCATATTTAGCCAGGGGTTAAATGTGTACGCTGTCCCTGCACTGAAGGAATACTGTGCCAAGGAGAACCTTAACTTCAAAATTCTTCTGATCGTTGACAATGCCCCAGCTCATCCTCCCAATCTTGATGACTTGCATGACAGTGTAAAGGTTGTATTCCTGCCTCCCAACACGACAGCACTGATGCAGCCTATGGACCAAGGCATCATCGCCGCATTCAAGCGTGTATTATGCCGTATCCCTTATCCCAGCTGCTCAAGGCTACAGACAGAGATAATAAACCCACGATCCAAGAATATAGAGCAGCCAACATTCTTCATGCAATTGACAACATTGGCAAGGCATGGGAAAGGTTCAGAAAGTTGCCTGAAGCGGTGTGTGGGGTAAACTGTGGCCAGTGCTTCAACAGTTTTACAGGATTCACGGACTTGGTCCCAGCAGTGAATAAGGATATCCTCAGCTTGGCTAGAGAGGCAGGCTTTGATGAGCTGGAATCAGAGAATATTAAGGACGTCCTGGCATCATACAGAAGAGCTCACCAGCAGATCTGCAACTGTTAACAGAACACAGTCCAGTTGAAGATGACGACGAAGAAGAACCTCAACGAATGCTAACTACAAGGGATGGCAGAAGCTTTTGACATGATCCGAAAGGTATGCAAATCTTCATTGATGACGACCCAACAGAGAACGTAGCTCAAAGGACAAAAGAAGGAGCACTAAGCAGTCAACGCTGGATTCTTTTTTTTCGTTTCCGGAAGGCAAACAGCATCTTCACAACAGCCTACAAGTAAGGAGTAGCAAAGGTGACGGAGGAAACCCAATCAGAGTGG